GCAAGTTCCCATTCAATCCACACACCGTCCTGACTTGAAACTATATCAAGGTTTCTTCAGCACTGGTGGGTTAAAGTCCTGGTTGGGGTACTTGTACTGAATGGACAGCAATGGTTTAAGAAAGCAACTCAGTAACACCTTCAAGGGTAATTAGGTATGGGCAGTAAATGTTGGCCAAGCCGACATCACCCACATTCTGTGAAGGAATTGAAAGAAATGTGGAAGTCAGGTGAACAGAAGATGACATCCCCTCATTGTGGCACACCTAAATGAAGGCTGGTCACAGGCACTGGGCAATGACTGACACAGACTGGAGCAGACAACATCATCAGTAATGAAATTGATTAAAAATTAAATAATGCACACTTTTACCATGTTGATTTGAAGTAACATCTCAGTATTCCTTTTGTTTACTGCATTTACAGTCACTATAAAAAGACATAATGGTTGGCATTTCAGCAGGTGTGCCTGGCCACAGTTATTAACCAGATGGAGCATAACATGCTTCAGCAAATGCTTGTAGAGCAGAAGACCAGAAGTCAATCCAACATCAAAAATTGAGTCATTTGGTGAAGTTGAGATTTTGGTCTTCTAAAGTGCTTAACTCGCTGAAATAAGAATTTTAGTCAAACCAGCATCAAAAATTAACTCATTTGTTGAAGTTGAAATTTTGGTCTTCCGAAGTGCTGATCTCTCTCAAATAAGCATGTTAGTCAAAACAACATCAAAAATTGAGTCATTTGGTGAAGTTAAGATTTTGGTCTTCTGATGTGCTTATCTCGCTGAAATTAGCATGTTAGTAAAACCAGCATCAAAAGTTAAGTCATTTGGTGAAGTTGAAAATTTTTGCCTTCTGAAGTGCTTATCTCACTGAAATAAGCATATTAGTCAATCCAACATCAAAAATTGAGTTATTTGGTGAAGTTGAGATTTTGGTCTTCTGATGTGCTTATCTCATTGAAATTAGCATGTTAGTCAAAACAACATCAAAATGTTGAGTCTTTTGGCGAAGTTGAGATTTTGGTCTACAAAAGTGCTTAACTCGCTGAAATAAGCATTTTAGTCAAACCAGCATCAAAAGTTGAGTCATTGACTGAAGTTGAGATTTTTGTCTTCCGAAGTGCTTATCTCTCTGAAATAAGCATGTTAGTCAAAACAACATCAAATGTTGAGTCATTTGGTGAAGTTGTGATTTTTGCCTTCTGAAGTGCTTATCTCACTGAAATAAGCATGTTAGTCAAACCAGCATCAAAAGTTGAGTCGTTGAGTGAAGTTGAGATTTTTGTCTTCCAAAGAGCTTATCTCCTCCCACAACACTTTATAGTCCTCACATCCTTTCTAACATCCATTGCCTAGTATTGGACATGACAGCTGAGACCAAACTAGAATTTTGTGAACACTGACAATTTGCTCGCTTTCGTACTCTACGCCTCTGTTTATAAAATCTTCCTTTATGCCTTTGTAATAATTTTCTCAACCTGAACTGCCACCTTAAATTATTCATGGGTGTATACTTCCAGGCTTTCTCCATTCCTGTATCTCTTTTAGAATTGTACCCCTTACTTTCTATGGCTCCTCTTTTTTTCTTCTAACCAAAATGTACTAATTTACTCTTCTCTATATTAGATTTCATTGGCCACGTGTCCACCCATGCCACCAGTGAACTTATGCCCCATCTATTGCTATCAGTTACTTGGATCATGACCTTTTCGGACATTTTTCCTACTGTTTTACCAATTTAGTTCTGCTGGCTTTGTTGATTGCTATACTGAATTGGTTGGATATGTTAGGTATTGCATTACAGCAAACCTGCAATTCAACAGGCTGAATGGCAAATAACAATGGGGTGGAGAGGGGCATGTTAAAGTTATTTGAACAACTGTTTTCATGACAGGAAGCTTAAGACAACAGGTAATAAAATTAGGTGGTGTGTAAAACAAGCAACTGATTGATCAATTTCCCTCTTTGAAGTTAGAACTTTTAATTCCACAGAAAGCAGCTTTGGACAGTTCCAAGATATTTCAACAGAACTGATATGACCTCACCCCCCTACAGGTAAATTATGTTTCTTCCCCTTGATACTCTCTAATCTGTGGAGCTTTTCCAGCAATTTTAGTTCTTTTCTCAGATTTCCTGTATTTGCAGTCTTTTACTTTTGCATTAGGTTAAAGTCACCCTGAGTCACAGTCTAGTCACTTTTCAAAGAGAATCATGAGGTAGTAGGAGAACAATTTTAGTAGCCAGTGTATAGAGGAAAAATAAAGCTTTGGTTATGATCCCTGTGCTTCACCAACAATTACCTACATACTGGACAGGTTGGTTCACTCTCATACCACGCACCTGAATTTCTAAAATGACAATGATTCATTTTCAGCTGTTTTTAATGATTATAGCCAAATTTGTTATATTGTGAAATTAAATTGGATTAAATCAAATTGGCCACTGTTGAATTTGCTACCTTGATCTTTGTTGATTCTGATCTCCCTGCTATAGGAAAGATGTTGGGAAACTTGAAAGGGTCCAGAAAAGATTTACAAGGATGTTGCCAGGGTTGGATGGTTTAAGCTATAGGAAGAGGCAGAACATGCTGGGGCTATTTTTCCTGGAGCATCAGAGACTGAGGAGTGACCTTATAGATGTTTATAAAATCATGAGGGACATTGATAGGGTGAATAGTCAAGGTCTTTTTCCCAGGGTAGGTGAGTCCAAAACTAGACGACATCAGTTTAAGGTGAGAGGGGTAAGATTTAAAAAGGACCTAAGGGGCAACATTTTCATGCAGAGGGTGGTGCTTGTAATGGAATGAGTTGCCAGAGGAAGTGGTGGAGGCTGGTACAATCACAACATTTAAAAGGCATCTGGATAGGTATATGACCAAGAATGGTTTAAAAGGTATATGGGCCAAATGCTGGCAAGATTAATGTAGATTATTTGGTCAGCAAATATTAAAAAATTCAAGAAAGCACTGAACAGGTAAACTGTATGGAATGCTTTGTAATTTTAATTCCTACAGGCAGGGTAAGGGCAATATGACAACCAAGAAGCCTGTGATAAGGGATTAAGGAGTATGTCAATGGCACCAATACCTGAGCATTATTGAAAAAAACATTTTGTTGAAGATTTTGGTCTTGCACTCATCAAGGCAATTCGCAGAAAATACCAAACTAAACAGGAAATAACTATTTTTGCTGCATGAGATGGGTTGTGATTGATTGGCAATTGGACTCTGGTCAGGGATTTTCATTGAATACACCAGTTAATGATGACTGACAGTTAACTGACAAGATTTGCTTAAATTTTAAACAGAGCTGTTTGACTGTGCTTAGTCAAGGTGTTGCTGACAGAAAGAACATCTGCGCACACTGTCTGTTTCAACTTAGTAAAATAGGTGACAGCCACTCTCTGCCAGAGTTGAGATTTCGCAGTCCCCTGGCTTACCACCGATCTTCGCCAAATTGAATGTTTTTTTCTATCAATCTGATGCTATCCTTAACTTCCCTGATTAACCATGGTTGGCTTATCCCCTTCCTTGAATCATTCTTCCTCACTGGAATATATCTATGAGCCATGAACCATTTTCTGAAATGTCTGCCATTGTTCCTCAACTGTCTTTGCTGCTAAACTCCTTTCCTAGTCAACTCCAGCCAACTCTGCCCTAATTCCATTGTAATTTTCCTTATTTAAGCTTAGCATAGCTATTTCTCACCCAAGTTCCTCTCTTTCTAAGTGAATGCTATATTCTACCATATTACGGTCATTGTTTCCTAGGAGATCTTTTACGCTGATATAACACATTATGTTTATACACACATTCATAAGTGGCCTCTGTTCCAGTAGTTTAAAAGATAAACCCAGAAAGGATTGTGAGGATTCAGCTTCTGAGAGATATTTATAAAACGAGGACACAATTGCATTTAAAGTAATCGGTCTTAAGTTTTGGTTTTCACGGATAGGTCCTATGTGATGTTATCAATCCATCCTTCAGTTATCAATGCGTTATTCATATCCTTATGATTTTTAAGGATTGACTAATTTTATTGAACAAACAATTTTGTAATCCTCTACCTAATTTTATAATCTTTCGTCAGCATCGTCACCTAGTCTATTCAAGTCTGAACCCTTTCAATAGCTCAAGTATCATGCTCTGGATGCTGAGAATTGCTATGGCTGCTTTGCAAAATTATTTGACCCCAAGAAAATATTCAATGTGTGAAAATCCAATGATACTGGTTTTAACAATGTACTTCTTCCAATCTTTCAAGATTTAATTTATATGCCTACCAGAGGAACATAGTCAGAACAATAGGGACAAACTTTCACACTGGCAGGAAATAGGATGTAAAAATGTGACTTTAAGCCAAAAAAAGGGAGGAAACAACCCAGGTTGCAAACACAAATCGAGTATACAGAGGAGCCCTATATTAAATCTTACAATGTCTGTCTGCCTGAATTCTGGATCATATTAAAGTACATGGCAACTGACATAAAGAGGACTAAAAGAAAAATACTTTTATAAAAATAATTGGTTGGCAATACATAAAAACCTTGAAAAACTGAACAAACTCAGTTATGATATCAGTCTTCAGGTGGAACAGTAAAGTAAATTTGCACTTTTTTTGCAGAGTTCCAACAATTTCTGAGAGCAATTAACTTATATTAGTACACAAACAATCTTGTAATGCGTTATGTATTTTTTGCGATGAAGCTGTGTGTTCTGGCATCACATTTACATTGGCTAATTTGAAGTTGACTAAGCCTGATGCTGAATGTGTTTCATGGAAATAAAATCAGTCATTTCGAAATGTGATGAAATCTTGATTTGAGAGTGTGTGCTGCTCCATTTCTCCCTAAAACAAAACGGCACTGAAAATATTTGTGACAAAACAAGGAAACTGTTTGAAATGATGAAATAAGCCCTCGTCTTCTTGGTTATCTAAATCTACAAAGGCTGAAGCAATGTGCCCTTTTAATACCCTCTTGTTAAAGGTAGTTGTACTTACACAACACTCCCTTGTCTCAGGAAAGGTTAGTGCTGAATTGCCTTGTGACAGCTCGAGGTTTACATTGCATCAGCCACTCAGTCACAGGCCCGCCCTTCACCGGTGCCCATTGGTTATCTGCTTGAACAGTCTGCCAACTTGGAATGGCATCAGTAGCCCATTGGTCCTCCTGGCTGTCAGTCACAGCAAAACACATCTGCTTCCATAGTATCGAATTACATTAAGGGGGAGGGGTACAAAAAAAGTTGCAAAAAAAATTTCCTCCTTCCGCCTGGCATCGAAAAAGAAACAAATAAAAACACGTCTTTTTTTTTGAAGGAACGTTGACATTTCAACAGAATCAAACACGAAGAAAGATCTTTCTTTTCCAAACCATCTGTGACGTGGTTTGAGGCAGTAAAACAAACCAGAACACAAATTGAACAATTCCAAAATCCTAGGAGGGGATTAAATAAATACACCGCTTGCGATTGTAACCATTAGCTTTACTAGTTTAAAAGGCATTTGGCGTGCAGTATTGTTATTTCGAAATGTTGTTCTCTGACCTGATTTTCCACAGGGAATGCAATGCAGCCGTAGGAAACATCTGCCGCCCCCGCTGTCGTTGCACTGTTGTGATATTTTGCACGTTTTGCTTTTTTGTTGTTGTTTTAAGGCCGGGAAAACTATACCGGGGGCAAAGAGTATGCCCGGGGTCCGCGCGCTCTGCCTCTCCCGCTGTCACGCGCTCGTTCCTTCCATGCTGGCAGCGTCCGCGTCACGTGAGAGAGGCTCGCCCGGATCTCTCGCTGCCCATTGGCCAGTGGGAAGGAGGCTCGTCCAGGGGGTGGTGTGATGGAAGCAGGCCGTGTTCCCCCCGCCACCTTGTCAATCATCTGCTCCGCCCCGCCCCCACTCCCGGGGCCCACACTTCACTGATACATTGCGTCAGTGCATTGTATCAATCAAAGTGATACTTTACACAAGCGCGATTATTACAGTACAGAAAGAGGCCATTCGGCCCGTCGTGTCTGTACCGGCTCCCGAAAGTTCAACACAGCTAGTCCCATTCTCCAGCCTCTCTAAACTCACAACTTTCAAGTGCCTATCCCTATCTTTTTTGAAAGCTACTTTCGAATTCGCTTCCACCACTCTTCCAGGCAGCACATTTCAAATCCTAGATAGTAGGAACTGCAGATGCTGGAGGATCCGAGACAACAAGGTGCAGAGCTCACATTCCAAATCCTGACAACTCTCTGAAGAACGAAGTTTCTCCTCATCTCACTCCGAGTTCTCTTGCTGACAATCTTGAAATTGTGACTCCTATTTATTGACATGCCTCTTTACCATGTCAAAATTGTTCATCATTTTGAACACCCCGATAACGTCACCTCTTAATCTTGTCTGCTCATGGAGAAATAAGCCCAGTTTCTGTAATGTTTCCTTGTATCTAAAATCCGTAATTCCTGATATCATTCTAGTAAATCTTCTTCACACTGTCTCCCAGGCATTAACACCCTTAAATAGTATCACGTACACTGGTGTTCTGTATCAATTGTAATGATAGTTTATGTCAATTGCAGTTGTACTTTGTATCAAGTAGACTAATATTTTATATAAGTCACAGTGTTTCTTTGTACCATAAGGCAGGTTAGCTCAGATGGCTGGACAGCCAGATTACGATGTAGATTGACACCAATAGCGTGAACACCAATAGCAGAAAGTGCTGGAGAAGTCTCCCTGGAGGGAGAAATAGAGTTAGCTTTTCCAATCCATACGAAACTTCTTCAGAACTCAGAAGTAGTTCCAAAGAGGAGTTATTGGACTAAAATGTTGCTTTACAATTTTCAACTTACTTCCCTTAGTGTATTCAGATGCAACTCATCATATCTTGTTGAGTTATCCATATTAAGGGAAGCCAATCTCTCTAATACCTCCTCTTTTATCATGACTTAAATATCTGCCCCTTAATTATGACTTCGGCAGCATCTCCCATCCATGGTAAAGGCAGAAGCAAACTGTACCTCAGAGATGCATCTTATTCTGTCTCTTTTTCAGTCCCTAATTGGCTCCACCCTCTTTTTTAGTATTTTTATTCCTAAAGAAAACTTTTAGATTCCCTTTTATGTTCACTGCCAGTCTCCTCTCATACTGTCTCTTCGCTTATTTTACTCCTTACCCCCAACCCCACCCTATCTTCTGCATATAAACTGATATTTTCCTAGCTTCCATCAGTTCTGAGGAAGGGTCACCAGACCCAAAATGTTACCTCTGACTTCTTTTCACAGATGGTGCCAGACCTGCTGAGCTTTTCCTGCAACTTCTGTTTTTGTTTCTTCTTTTACTTGTTTAATTTCATCTCTTCTTGAACTTTCTGTATTCAGCCTGGTTCTCAATTGTAATGCCAACCTGACAACTGCCATATGAAAGATAGTAGGAACTGCAGATGCTGGAGAATCTGAGATAACAAGGTGTAGAGCTGGATGAACACAGCAGGCCAAGCAGGAAGGCTAACTGCCATATGAATCCTTGTTTTGCTTTACCTTACTTTTTATTTCTTTTGTCATCCACTGAAATCTGGCTTTGATTGACCTACCTTTTCCTCCCATGGGAATGTATCTTGAATGTACTCAATCTCTTTTTTTCTAAATTCAACCCATTGTCCCATTTCAGTTTTGCCTGCCTACCTTCAATTCTTATTTGCTCGGACTAGAACCATTCTCACCCCAATGAAATTGGCTGTCTCCTAGTTAACTATTTATACTCTGGATTGTTCTCTCCCCTTTCCACAGTCAAACTAAGCATTATTATGATCACTGACCCCTACCAACACTTGTTCCAACTGACCCACTTGCATCTACAAAACCAGATTCAATGATACCCCTTTCCCCATTGTCAGGAATCAAACCAACTTAGAAAAGTATCTGAATGAACTTCTGGAGGTCTGCCCCATTTCTGTCCTTTTACACTCTGTTTATCACAATCCTATTAGACTAATAAAGGTTGCCCATTATGCTGACTCTATGATTTTTACACCCCTAGGTAATTTCATTGCAAATTTCTTTCTCTGTGTCTTTCTCACTAACTATTGGTCTTAGATTATATGTAGTAATGCAATGGTACCCCTGCTGAGGTTCCTATACTCAAACAAGATAGATTCATTCCTTAACCCCTCTAGGAAATCCTCTCTCCAGCTCTGTAATATTCTTTATTAATCAATACTTCCACCTCTCCTCCCTAGTTCTTGAGCAGCCTGTATCCAGGGTTATATAATACCTACTCCTGTCTTTGTTTGAAATGTACAGATCTCTGTTATCACCACAACATTATTAATGTGCCTGTAGCACATTAACTTCACTTACCATGCCTTGTGCATTCATGTACGCACATAGTAATTCTATTTAGGTTTTATTGCGTGTCACTGATGTCACCTAAACCCTTATCTATTTCTTACTCTACTTGTTGCCTCTCAATCCTGTGTATATCTTGGTTTTTGTTTCTAATATTATATCCTGGTTTCCTTCCCTCTGGGAAGTTAGTTAGTTTAACCCCTCCCAATTGCACCACAAAACTACCCCCCCAAAGTCATTGCTTCCAACACTGTAGAGGTGGAAACCATAAGACCCACTCCCCCTCCCACAGCCTGGAGATGTCCCTCCTCCCCCAGAACCTGTCCCAAAATCTCAGGAAGCTAAATTCTTCCCTCCTGCACCATACTTCAGTCACACATTAATCTACTCGGTCCTTCTATTTCTAAACTTACCAGCATGCAGTAGTAAGAATCTGTAACCAAGATAGTAATACCTTTATCGCCTTGTTTGCTAATTACCTTCCCAGCCCTATAAAATATGGCTGCAGGACCTCATCCAATTTTCTACCCATATTGTTGGTTATGCTATCGATTGTAACTATTGCAGCCACTGTGACATCCTTGACTGTGCATCAAGGAGAAAATATATCTTCCTGCATTCACCTCTGCAGCTGTAGAAACCCTAGCTGTTCCCTATAACTCCAGAATTATCATCACTATTGCTTTCCCAATTTTCCTCTTACATCCAAGTATAACTGAGTCAGCTGCTCTTCCCTAGATTTGTATCTGTCTGCACTCCCCAGAATAATCAAGATATTGGCTACAGCACAGCAATATACTTCATGTCGAGTACAGTTGTTATTACACTGATGCGTGTGTACATTAAATTCATTGATGCTCAATATCAAGTGCAGTAATTGCCTTGATACTTTGTAGCAAGTAACTAGAAAGTCTAAAGTGTAGCAATTCCTTCTCATGTCTCATCAGCACTAACATCCTCCTTATTCCATCTACATTATTCACCCTTTTTGATATTAAATCACAGGATGATACAGTACCATTGATGAAATCAATTTAGTCCATCATATTTATGTCTGTTTTATGGCAGGGATATCCAATATCTCCATTCCCTCAAGACCACTCCCAGCTCTGCTCCGATAATCCTGTATTTTTCCCAGTCAAGACTTTCTGGTGACACATACTGTCCGTACAAAGAAAGCAAAACCACTTTTCTAAGTAGTAATGGAGATAGTGTTCCTATAATATTGTTGCTTGAGGCCTTTTCTTTGGGAAAGATCATGTGCTGAGATGTGTGATTGAGGTAACCTCTGAGCTGTATGGCGACTATGCTTGACATGGAAGTGAAATTAGTTTTGAATGTTAGTGTAAAACGTATGGTAATAAAGCAGCAAATCTATGAAAGATCCATGGGAAAGAAACTCAGGCAGGGTGAAAAATTGGATCCTGACAAATTATTGTCAGTTTTTAAAATTAGCTCCAGAACCGTTTTGTAATGATTGTAATGAGATCATCCAGGTGGACCTCATAGAATATGAGTTCCCTGACTGGGGCTGTTAACCTGGTCCAATCAGAAAGCCCTGGCTGACAGATATAAACAGGAGTGTCAGAGGTTCTGTTCACTCTGAGAGCTGGCTCTAAGGAAGGTGGATCAGTGTCAAGGACTCTCCACATGAAAATAAAAGGTGACCTGGTGTTGGGATACTAGTCTCTGTGGAGTTATTGCACATTTATGACAATAAATCTTGAAATCCATGGTGAACATTTACTGTGAACCATTGAACACTGAACACTGTTGGTGTCCCTGTGTCACCATGACAGTTGTGATTCACACAGTTAGCCCACCTCCACCTTCTCAAGGGAAATTAGGGATGGACAGTGGAGAACATAGAACTCATATTCTTATGCATGGCAATGTGCATAACTGCAAAATTACTGAATCCACTAACATCACTTGAAGATGTAATTTACTCTGGGCTGGGTGTTAACTAATAACAACATATACATTCAGAGAATACAGAATCTAAAACTCAGCATTGGTCTCAATGTTTGTGGAGCAAGTTTTTAGCTCAAGGCAGATAAACAGGTTTGATCCATATTATAACATACATCCTTAGCTTACAGATATTCATAAGGAGTAAAAGATTTTCCATTTCCTTTCTCTTCCATCTATTTTACAGCTTTGAGAACACAGAATTCCAAGGGTTAAAATTAAATACTAATTATGTTCAGTATATTTAACAGCAATGAAATCTCATCAAAATTTCTCATCAATTGTCTCCATCTATCTCTGAAACTCAGAATTTGCTGTGAAGAACATAGAACAGTAGAGCACAGTACAGGCCCTTCGGCCCATGATGTGGTGCCGACCTATTATCCTACTAAGATCAAGCTACCCTGCATACCCTACATTTTACTATCATCAAGAATGTGG